AAATCTCTTTTCTCTAAATCTAGGTCAATATTTTTAGTAAATAGTTCTGCATTTCTCAGTTCCCATTTACGCCTAAGAGATTCCATTTCTGATAACTCCTCCTGTGCTAAAGAAACATTCCGCTTTAAATTCTCTGCTCTAGATTAGAGAGATTCTATTTGACAACTCCTTCTGTGCTAAAGAAAAATCCCACTCTAATTCCTCTGCCCTAGATTGAAGAGCCTGTATCTTTTTCTTCATTTTGAATTGGAGGGTTTGCATCTTCTCCGATTTTATAGAGAATTTGCTTTTAGCATCTGCAAGAAAAATATCCTTGCAAGTAATCTGAAGTATAAGCTCATTTTCTTTAAATGCAATTGTCTTATCTCTTTTCCAAGTTGGTGCACCCGATTAGAAAGTTTTTCATTTTCTTTTTTGAATTTATTAAAATCAACTTGCATGCACTTATTTTCTCTATCTAAGACATTATAGTTATCCGCAAACTGGCTTCCCTAATATATAGCAACTTCACGGTCTTTTTTTGCACAAAAAAGTTGTTCTTCAAGCTTTGTTCGACTGGAAGGATAATAATTAGCTGAAGCATCTCCAAGTTTGTTACCATTATCCAGATCTTTTAAGATATGAATTTGAGGCATTTTATTGGTATTTTTTTTATTTTTGGCAAAAAAATTCAGCTAGGGCTTAATCTTGTAAGAAAGCGGATTATTTTTGGTGAATCTAATGCCTATTAATACTCATTGAAAAAAGATCACTGGTGTATATTAAAAGGCACTGAGACACATTTATACTTATTGATGCGCACTGAAAAAGAATAGTAATATGCATTAAAGGACACCAATATGTATTGAAGGATACTGATATGTATTAAAAAGCACTGACTTATATTGAAAGGCATCAGTATGTACTAAATCATCAGAAATATTGATACATATTAAAAAGTATTGAAAAAAATTATTGGTAGTTTTTTTGCATATATATTCTGACTAAAAATGGTCACCTATTTCCATAAAAAATTTTATCGATCCAATGCAACTCAGTTGTCAGAGTCTGATATTAAAGAAATTAGAGAATCGAGAGGTAAGATATCTAATGCATCAAAAAAAATGGCTGAAAAATTCCATTTTGGTGCTTAGCATGTTTATGAAATATGGAATAATAGCGAGCATCTCTAATAAGAGCTTATTTTATCTTCCTTTGATCAGCTTACTTTAAATAAAATAGAACAGACTCTTGAAGTGGTATCAGAAGTATCATCTATATCCCTTCTGGTTACAGAGATTCCAAAAATGAATGGTTGAAAAAAGAAGGTTAGAATAGATGAGAAGTCAGTTACTGAAGCAACCAGTATGATAGAAAAAATAACAAAAATGGTGTGGTCTCTTCCTCTGATAATTCATCTGATACATTCTGAGAAGATAGGGCAGAATACTTCTAAAAAATCTAGTTAATCGTGATGAAAAGCTTAAGGGTTTAACAGCTAATACTACTCCTTTTATATAAGGATTCGCATGTATTAGCAAGAAATTTACTGGTACTTAAGGTCAAATAGAGTATTTCTTTAGTTTTTATGAGACGCTTTTCAAGCTCTTTGCACTTTTTTTTAAATCTTCTTTACTAGTCAGATTAGAAGAATTAGCTAAAATCTGAGAGTCAAGAGGAACTTCGCATGATAATTCCTGATTCTCTTTTGGCGAATTCTTATTTATTAGAACCTTGCTAAAAGTTGGGATAATATATGCCTTTCCATGTAACTTTATGCGGAACTGGTTTTTATTTGGCTCAGAAATACCTTGAACTTTTCAAATGTTTGACATATCAAAAAATAGCATTAGTTCTATTTCACCATTATCAATACGAATAAAATTTCCAATAACTGTGACTGTCTTATCTTCTTTATCCTTCAAGGTAACTGACACGTCTGTATACCATCCTAATGAATCAGTGATGTGCTTGGAATTGCCCTTTATAGCAAAATTAGATGATTTATCAGCCTTCCATTCAAGTGCCTTGATTGCTGGGTCATTTATACTACCAAACTTACTGCCGAAATCTAAAAAAATTCAGAAATAGTTAAATCATTTATATTAGCATTCAGATATTATAAAGATGATAACTACTCATCTGATTCTTTCAATTTCTCCTCCTGAACCTTTCGAGATAAACACATTTTTCGTATTAATAGTAAAAGCTTAGATAATAACTGATCGTACTTTTCAGGTTAGCTAGATTCTAGGAGTGAGATTGCATTAGTATCATCGGCCAACTTATCATTTACCTGTTTTTTTTACTGGTAAATCATATTCAGTCCATCTATTATTGTCTTCATCATAACCATCCCCATTATTTTCCTTACTATCTAAATTAGAAGGAACTATTAGTTTAAGAGGCGTAAAATAAGACCAAGTGAAATTAGATTGAGCTATCGGTTTATTTGGATAACTTCCTTTACTATGACCCATTTCTCTACAAATTTCACATTTTTGTATGTATTTTTTTTTTGAAATAGATCAGCTAATTGATTTACATTATTTCGAGTTTCCTCAAGTCCTACTTCAATTCTATCAAATCTAACAAAATTATTGTTTTGCTGTATACAAGATCTTTGAAAAGGTTTTATAGGATAATCAGAGTCTAAATCTTTCTTATTAAGTAGACCTACTTCTTTTAAATATTCAGCTATATAATAATTATTGAGACCTTCCTCTGTTTTTAATGAAGATGATGGGCCTTTTAGCTGTCTAACTGGTTCAACAATTTGTGGGTAGATACTTGCTGAGCTATTTGCGATTTAAAATCAGATTTTTGCTTTTCTAGTAAAGACTGGTATTCAGTTTTTTGCTATGCCAGTACATTTTGAATTGCTTTTTGCATATCTTCTAAAGAAATTCCTTGCTGTTGTGAAGCTGAAACAGGTAAAGATTCATATATTTACCGAGATACTCGATTAGATATTAATAGATCTGATATTCTTTCCCTTTTATATCTAGTAATTCGACATAATTCAATCTCATAAAGCTTTTTAGCTAATTCATCTAATGGCAAATGTTCGCTAATATCTTCAGCCTTTTACCGCCATAGAAGTGAAAGAGCATCTAAGAACATTCTTCAGGCCTATAGTTGGCTCATCTGCCTATTTATAATATTTTTCTATATAATTCATCTATCGTTATGTTTTCCTTCATGATAGTTCTATACATCATATTCTAAAGCTCCTCTTTTACAGTAAGGAAATGAGTTTTTAGCCACCATACAGCTTAACTAAATTGAATACCAGCCACAACTACTGTAGTACCATTATCAGCATTTAGAAGATTTACAGGAAGATTAGTAGGTCATCCTCCTACCACGCATCAGTCTTCATCACAATGCCCTTCTACAGCTCTTAAATTGACTATTGCATTTCCAGGTTATCCATTCACTTCATTTAATTTATTAGCATCTATCTGGGCAGCATTGCATCTATTTATAACTACCAAATTTGCTTATCAGTTAGATTAGTTAATTCTCAATTTAGCTTTGTAGTAATTTCATCATCAAACTATTCTAAAGTTCTTCCTGTCATACAATCTCTTAAATATTCTATTGCCTGATCTCTTCCTGCTACTGGAACTCCCGTATTATCTGCTGGATCTATACCTTGATTTTGCAAGTATAATCTAAGTTTTGCAAGGAAATCTGGGATATCATCACCCCAGTTAAAAAATGATTGCAGTATTCCTGTCATGTTTACCTGATTAAATGGATTATTCTGAAGCGCTAAAATTTGTCCCTGCAAATTTAAAATATTCTGGTGAGAATTTTTTTCTTTAGCCTTCCATTTTTCATATTACTTATAGAGCCTATCTCGATTATATTCTAACAGACCTATATCTCTTCTACAACGCTGTAGGTGGTAGGCATTTCACTGATATAATAATTGTAAGGCAAATTTTTCCTGTAGCAATATACCAATACAGGTTCACTTTCCTGTTATATTATCTTACATTCTATTTACTTGATTTTGAGCATTGGTTTGCAACTAATAAAGATCAGCAATAACCAATTATTCCACTCCTTCAGCATTTTGTCTTCATAAAATTGCATTATCACGCCCAGTTTCTGCATTATAACGCCTTCTCTGCTCCCTAATTATATCCTGATGCAAATTATTTTCTTTTTGGTGAATTTGCCTTGTTGCTCTTCTTATTTGATCTGCTAAGATTTCTCTACCTGTTGCATGATTATCTACATAACTATCTATAGCATTTACTAGTTTAGTAATTGTGGTCATATTATCATCAGAATTATACAAGTCTGAAGAATTCTCTCATTCAGGTGAATTTTTTCGTGATGAGATGATCCTAAACTGATAGCGCAATTTCTCAACTTGTTTCTCAGATTCTACTAACCGCTCTTCTAAACTAGAAATATATTTTCCCTTATCTCGCACATCTTTTCTAGCGTGATATAGCTGACTTTTTAGGATAGAGATTTCAGATTTTAGCTCTACTATCTCTTCTTTCGAAGCATTTTTAAGACATTCCATCTCCCCATTAAATGTCTGGATTTCTTATATATAGCAGTCATAATTACGTTTCAGATCCCTAATCTGTTTCTTATTACAACGATTAGTATCAACTTTTATTTGTAATTCACTACAAAGACAATAGTTTTTCTCTTCCAGCTTAGCTTTATATTCTTCACATGTTCTTCTTTGCCTTAGATAAGGTCTTCGAAATGCTATTCTTTTTTTGTAATTATAAAAGAGAATAAGAGAACTTTGATTTATATAGATCCTCAAAAAATGCGTAATCTTGACCAAGATCTTACTTTGCAGAAATACAAGGAAAAAAGTACCTCAACTAATAAGAAAAATCTGACTTCATAGATGCCAGCTTTTTTCTGCCTTTCCTAACTATATCTTCAGATCCTCATTTTCACAATGTAATTTCTTATTCACACTAATCCGCTCTCTATATTCCCTTTCTATGTCTTGCATGAATTTTTCGAAAGTTCTTTTATTATATTCAAGGAGGTGCTGGCGAAACACTTTAAGTTTATTCATAACCCAGTAATTATTCTCTTCCTCATGATTACAAGTGATATTATCAGTTTGGACTCCATTATCTGAAACGCATATAGCTGATAATACTGGGAATACATTACATTCTGGCCAGCTTCGAGGACACAATAATTTCTTCTGAGTTATAAATTTGCATTTCCTATTTAACGAATTCTCATAAATCTCTAATATGTATCTTAAATAGGATTCAATTTATTCAGACTTTCCAGAAATAAATTCTAATGGAATAGGATCTTTAGAAAGGTGTAAGAGTTTTACACACGTTCTTTTAACAAGACTTTCAGGTAGTCTATCAATAATACGTTTATAGTCAGAATAAAACATTTTATTAGATATAGTTTTACGCAAAAAAAAGTTTGCATGCAAGAAATAGACCTATAGCATATAGCACTATAAATTTATGTGCCAATATCGTGAATTGCGTCACATCTGATATTTAAATTCTTGTTCCAAACGTTCAGCCTGCAAACCTTTTTACAATTGAGTAAATTCTTCATAATCTAATTCATGTTTCTTGTCATTATTCCATCCAACATAATATTTTAACCAATCACAATCGAAATTAAAAGGAACGCTATTTAGTTCTACATTTGAGGTCAGGATCATAAAAAAAACTCTCTCCTGTTTATCCCAAAAATGACCAAAAAAACAGCGAGCAAAAACAAAAACAACGAGAATGTTTGTCTTTACCGTTAACTACGCAAAAAGCCAAAAAACAAAAATACTATGCAAACTGTGGAAGTTCCACCCATCCAACAAACTACCGAGACTCCAGAACTGGTAGTGTCCATGGAACTTGATCCTTTGCCCTCAAAAAAGGCAAAGAAAAAGAAACTTTAGAAGAAACTCCAGAAAAAACCACTATCACTCTCGACGTTGACGCCAATTTTGACACGTCAGAGAACTTCTTAAACAAAAATACGTCTTCAATACAAGCTTTTAAATGTCAAAAGCCTTCTTTCTATGGTTATTTTCCCCTCGAAGAATTTCCAGGAACTTCACTGCAGCAAAAAGTCTCTTCTGTTGTCAATTTGCTTTTCGACAAATACAATTTGTTCTCAGGAGCGACATTAGCCAAACATCTGAAGGACCAATCATAATGCATCCTGAAAATTTCCTTTCATAATCAGGAAAAACGAGATCATGCATGTTTGGTTTTATTGCCCAATTTGGAAAATCACACATTCTTACCCCTCACGGTAATACATACATAATCGTATGTCCCTGCAAGGTCGATCAGGGTAACAGAAATCCCCTGGATTCCACAGAACACAGGATTAAAATGAAATTTGCCAAATTTGGAACGATTGTCTGTTTCACCATAGAAACCAAAAATATGTGGCAACAGGCCACCATTACCTTCGCAGAAGACGCAAATTTCAAGGGACTAAAGGATTATTATAGTCTCTTTGTACTTAACGACATGGTCAGAGTCCATATGTGTGACTAATCTCATGCAGAAATTCTGGTACTTTCAAAATTTTCAGCAAAACTTGCCGGTCTTCCTAGATTCACGACTGGTAAACAACTTGAAGCAATTGGAAAGATGGTTGACGCTATTGCTTGGGTTATCCCTAAAGCCCGATCGAACTACCAAAATTTATAACATGCATTTTTCTACTTTGCCACTGCAGACGATTTTGAGGCTACAATTTCAAATGATAATCTTACCATAGATAGCAAACACGTGACTTAGACTGAATCAAAGGCCAAACTTTGTGCGATTTGCTCTTTCCCAAATCACAAAACTAATGGATGTCCACAACATAGGAAATCTTCAGTTGATTGAAACATGCAAAATCTGTATCAGAGATTTCAACCGACGCAATACTCAAACTATAAGGCTCTTCCAAAAAAATGAGAGGCACAGTTAACCCGGACATTACCTTTGCCTACGTTACTAAATCACCATCAACCACAACAACAATCAACATTCTAATCCTCCAAAAAACAACAATAATAACAACAATCCTAATAACAACGACAACAATCAAAATAAACCACCTTCACATTCTGAAAACAAATGTACTTCTCAATCTGGTTCATAGCCTGATGATGTTTCACCAAACATGAACGAAGAGATCCTTTTTGATAATACTATTTGTCCTACACTCAATAGCACAGTTTATAAGGGTACCAAAGTAGGCAGATCCATGTATGCTAACAATGATAATGATTTCAAAGAATACGTCAAATCCCAATTTATTAATCTTAATGAAAATTTGAGTATCATAATGAGCAATTTAGCGTTTACAATTAAAAGAGTTGAATCTGTTGAACAATCACTCAATATCAAAGTCATTACTCCAGTAGAAGTCGACGTACAAAATCTTAATGCTGGTGAAATGGAAGAGGAAGTTGAACCTACTATCGACTTATCAGCATCCACCATTCTTAAACAACAAAAGACCATTGAAGGCTTTAGAAATATTAATGCCATACATCAAAACTGCCTCAAGTCCTTCACTACAACGGTCAATACTCTAGTTCAATCGTGCGCTGCTTTTCAAAACGTACTTTTGAAAAATAATGTGCTCCCTCAAGAACATGCTAATAATATCTTTCCACTTAGTGTAACATTTGATACTGATATTGAACGTTATATCAAAGACCTCTCCCAATATTAATTTTTTTAATGAACACTATCCTTACTGATAATAATGCACAAAATGCATCAATTCCTAACACGACTCCTTTTAATCATACCCCTTCTCCTTTTTTAGCTTTTACTTCACATAATGTCCGCAGCTTCACTAATACCGCTAAATAGCATTCCCTCATTGAACAATATCTTTTCTTAAATATAGATGCCATTGGTCTACAAGAAACGAACTTCCTCTAACAATATATTCGACCATTCAATTTTGAATACTCATCTAACTTCATCGGCTTTTTCAGTTCTGAACCATTTCCTAACCGAACTGGCTTTAGCGTAGGTATTTTACTATGACCATTGCTGGCCAATCACATCTTTCACCATAAACATTTGCTTAACAGAATTATTTATGTCGATCTTCAATTTACCAACAAACAAAAAATAAGATTTATCAACTATTACTTGCCCTCATCCGATATTTCAACAAGAAAATTAGTCCAAAAAGAACTAGTAAAATTGCTTAATGATGCTATTTCCAAGGATTTACACATTATTCTTACTGGGGATTTCAATGCTGATATTGATCGAGACAAAAACCCAAACAGCGTAAAAGAATTTTTTTCATTGATTCAAAATTTGCATTTGTTTGACGCATGCACATTGAAACACAGTAACGATTGGGTCAAATATCCAACCTTCAAATCAACGACTTCAACTTCTCGCATCGATTTTATTTGGACTTCAGCGGAATATGCCTATAATTTTAATACTTGCAATACTGTATCTGTGTTACCGCAAATCTCTGATCATGCAATTGTAACTTATTCCATAGATAACTATCTCGAAGTCAAGAATAATAAATGAAATATTCTGAAAAAGGCGATATACGATTATGATAAAATGACCGATGAACACTGGAAGGAATACAAAGACAAAATGGATGCCCTTACCAACAGTTGTGAACTGCACCTATTAAAATTCAACTCAAAACTTAACCAAACTAAATTTAATTTTTACTGGGACTTGTTGCAAGCTTGTATAATCAAAGCTGCTGATAACGTTATTCCGTCACATAAATCATCTGGACAACATAAATTAAAGAAACCTCTCTTGTTAACTAAACTTTATAAAAATCTTAGATATTTATATAAGTTTAATAAGAAAATCAAGATGGCCTGCAAGTCTGATACATTACCGGAGGACTGGTCAATATTATACAACAAATTCCAAGAGATCTCTTACGTCTTCGGATATCATTTGATAGCGTTACTCCTACACCAAACACGTTATTTCTTACATCATTGTTTCCATGTGTGAAACTAATCCTTAATTGTCTCTTAATTAAGACCAAACTCCACGAGCATAAATTTAAATTGGAATCAATACAACAAGCGATTGAATGCAGGTTAGATAATTATGCGGCCGCTCCATTCTGAATGATCGATTCCATACTAAATCGTTTAAGAAAAACTATCGTGTTAGATAGATGTCTAGATAATGTATCTGGGTCACGTGATCTTCTGACCGATGAAACGATGGTCAAAAATAGTTAATCAACATTTTCAATTAGCTGCTGACACTTCTCATGAGAATATGGATATCCCAAACGATTGGAAGTCCGCTTATACACCAATAAATAATGTCAACAGCCTATATATGATGGACTCATGGCCTGCCCTCAGCTGAGAAGTGTACGACATCCTCACTATGTTGCTAAATGGTAAAGCTTCTGGTCTGTCCAAAGTATCTAATGAAATGTTAAAACATCTTAGTTCACATGCAAATAAGTTGCTCTGGTATATCATCCGTCATTGTTTATCAGAGTCGACTCTTCCATATCAGTGGAATATCACATTCGTCTACCTGATACCAAAACTGAAACTATGGGAGTATGACCTTAATAATACTCGACCCATCACACTGTTAGAATGTCTACGGAAAGCTCTCATCAAATTACTCAATAGACGTCTCTCAACAATTATCATTCAGCACAATGTGCTCAAGGGTTCAACTTCGCTAGGCTTTCTTATAAATCGACATTTGAACCACTTCGTATAGTGGACAATATTAAATTTGACTCTGTTACGAACAACAAAGACCTCTGGGTGTTATCGCAAGATATGTCTAAAGCTTACGATTGAGTAAACTTATTTATGCTCGTTAGAGCACTAGAGCGACTTCACATCCCTTTTAATTTTATTAGATTCATCCTAAAAATGTTCAGTAATCATTTCAATCAAGTCTTTACTTCCTTTGGAAATACTGACCCATACAGAGTTGTTTTGGGTATTGATCAAGGTGAAATAATATTTCTGCTCCTTTATTGCATCTATTATGATCCGCTATTATGTGGAATACACGATTCTCCTTTGGGATACAATATAACTCATCAGTGGAAACCTGATGTTTCTATCAACACTCTGTCAAATACATGTATTAAGATCTCTATTCTTGCCTATATAGATGACACCTTGTGGATTGTGAAATCTTGAGAGGACCTTACGGACATCATAAAAATTGCAGATAGTTTTTATGAATTAAACTTCATCAAAGTTAACTGGAACAAATCTGTACTATTAACAAATAAAAATAGTCTGTGCCAGTCTATCACTCTACCGTCTATTAATGGTACGACAATGATTCATCCACTCCCAACCAATGACTCTATCAGATACCTAGGGGTTTGGATATCTTTAGGATCGAACAAAACATTTGTTAACAAATTACTTGTTAATGAAATCAAGACAGCGGTATCCATTATGTTTCCTAAAAGAATTATGGATAAACAATTAATTTACATTTACAATTCAGTTCTTATTCCACGAATTGAATATCGTTCCCAGTTGACTTATTTCACCAAACAACAATGCAAACAAATTACTTTACCGTTCCTTGTATTTATGAAGAAAAAACTTAAATTATCACATGATACACCTTCTATGATTTTTTATTCGCATTTATTTTATAATTTGACGGACCTCTATCAATGTTTGTTGACAGCACACAGCAA